TTTTTTTTCCTTTTTGTAAGGTGATTAATTTTCGTTTATTTAGAAGTATGTTGTATTTAATTTATTTTTTAGTTTGTTGTAATAAGTTATTTCTCTATTGTAATATTTTTTTTTGAATGCTCCGACTCTCCTCCATTGTAATATAAATTCATTAATTATTCAATTGTATAATATAATATGTTGTACATCTATCTTTAAAAAAATATAAAAATCTAATTATGTTATTAAAAAAATAAATATGAAGGTAAAGCAATAAAAGGTAAGAGGGATGTTGCCTCACCACACATAATTGTGTAAACCACGATCTAAAAACATATAAAGTAAATTATTCTAACTTATAAAATACATTATTCTAACACATAAAGTATATTATTCTAACACATAAAATATATTATTCAAACATATAAAATATATTATTTTAACTCATAAAATACATTATCTTATCCCAGAAATTTCATTATTCTAAGACAAAGTACGTTATTCTAACTTATAAAATACATTCTCTTACCTCAAAATGTTCATTATTTTTGAAAAAGATCGTGGATCTCGAATGCAAACGATTACTTAAAGGTTCCTACTTAATTTTAGCCAAATTATTAATCTGGATTAGCTACTGCATCTAAGTCAGAAAGATTAATAAATGAAAAGCGGGATAAAGAAAAGAACCAAGACACAAGAATTGATCACGCAGTCCGGAGCAATTCTCTCACGTCTGCGGAGCTACTCAACGTATGTCCAATCCACTAGATGATCACCAAAGATTACAAGGGTTGAAACAACATGTCCATACACACTATGACCCTAATTCTTCACACCAACTCAATCTTCATCATCTCCCTTGAATTGGTACGTTGCAAGCCAATAAGCCTTCAAGTTTCAATCACCATAAACATATATCACCAATAACAGAGTTTAAGAAATGATCACATAAAGCCTTCTTAAAGCACTCGTATAAGGTAAAATAATTTAGAGCAAGAGTCTCAATGTGAGCTTCCTTCTTCATGCCTTTATATAGTGAAAGAGTTGTAACCATCAAGTTCAAACTTTAGCTAGTGAAACTCCTCATAAAGTGGACTGCTATTTAATTTAAAAACTGCCTGAAAACTCAGTCCACTCAACTAAAATATGTTAAAAAAAATTTCACAAACTAATGTACACACTGACTCAAAGACTGACATAAATCCAGGGTTAACCATAGCAGCTTCTGTCGTAGGTTCAGACTATAAGAAAAGATCATAAAACAGTCTAAATAAACCAAATAAATCAAAATATGTTTTGACAAATAATTAGCTAATCTAATACCAGGAATATGTGTATCATTTGTACACTTACTATCTTAATACGTGCACGGAGCAAGAATTATTTATTTTATTTTAACATCAAAATGTGTGTACCATAATCTACCTTGCCTCACTTGTATTAGCCAACCAAATCGAAGAAAAGCTGAAGCACACACCCCAATTCATCAAAGCTCTGAAACCGGACATATTCTTCCTTTTCTCTGTCGACAACACCCTAAAAAACACCACCTAAAGCTCTTTTCAATCCAAATACTGGCACAAATTAATGTTATAATAATAATAATAATAATAATAATAATAATAATAATAATACTTTATCCTTTATATAATAAAGCTATATGATTTAGAAAATAATTAATGTTACAATTAATGCCACAACATCTTTTATTATAAAAAAAAAAAGCACAATATTTAAAAAATAAAATAGCTATATATTATATAATCATATAAAAAATATACTTTTGAAAAATAAAATAACTAAATATTATATAATCACATAAAAAATGCGTTCAATTAGAGTTTAAATTTACACATACAAAATTTGAAATTTGCTTTCTAAATGTAATTATCTTAGTTATTATTTGTATTGTGAAAATTATAATATAGATGAAATACAATTAAGAATAAATCAATGTAATTATGTAAATTATCTCTATAAGTTTATTTGAATATGCACATAATTAGAGATTATATTAACCATACAAAATTTTAATTTTAATTTTAATTTTAATTTTAATTTTAATTGTAATTTTGTATTCTATAAAAATAATAAATACTTGACCAATGGAAGCTCAAAAATATTATTATATTAAATAATTTAAAATATTTTAGTTTTTCTATTTTTTATTTATATTTATAATAACATAATTTTTTTCCGTACATCGCGCGGGTGAATTACTAGTAATAATAATAATGATAATAATATTTGTATATTCCATTTCTTTCATTTATACTTTATACTTTCATTATAATATATAAACAAACACATTGTGCTCACACTATTGGAAATTATTGAATTTCCGACCACCTGAAAGTGATCTTAAATCAAGTTAAAAATAAAAAGTAGTAGGAAATAGCAACAAATGGTTTTTCCGGATACCAAAAGTGATCGGAACAAGGCTTTCAGCTTGATTTAAGATCACTTTCAGGTGGTCGAAAATTTCAAAATTTCCAGTAGTGTCAGATGGCATGTAGTGACCTCTTCCATGTGGGAGGTCATGAGACAGTAATTAACTTGATTGACGTGAGTGATTGTGCACTCTTATCCCTAAAGACATCTCAGGACTTCTTGTGGTCTTAAAAAAAGACCCATATTTAAGTAGGCAAATTATACCATGGACCAAGGTCTACCTTGCATTGTCGACCTTGGTCCAAAAATAACCTTCAAATTCTGTACTTGCAATTGATACATTCTGTATCTGTAAACAAATGGAAGACACATCACATAGTAATTACAGACACATAACGTAATAACTACATACACATAAATTGTTAACTACATGTACAAAATATGTCAACTTCAGACATATAACATGTTAACCAACATTTATGTGTCTACCGTTCACATATTTTGTACATGCAATTAACAATTTATGTGTCCGTAGTTATGTCCTTTTAATTTGTTTACATGTACAAAAATTGTTAGCTGCAAGTACAGAATGTATTAATTGCAGACACATAATTTTTAGAGTAGGGTTCACAATACAATATGAACATTGGTCCATAGGTTATTATTTAATGAAAAATATTATGGCCCTGTTTGGTAAAATGGCTGTTAGCGGATAGCTGTTTGCTGTTAGCTGATTGTGTTAATTAGAGGGTATAAATAGTTGATAACATTAGCTGATTGTAGAAAAGTGTTTGGTAAATTAGCTGTTAGCTGATAGTTGTTTAGTATAATTTCTTTTCTAAAAAAGCTAATTGAAAAAGTTGCTTAGAATAGCTTTTTGAATTTTAGCCTTTTGGAGTTGCAAAAAGCTAATGAACCAAACATTTATATTGATGTTTTAACTAAATCAAACAATTAATAGTGGTCAAATAAGTCAAAATTGGCCTATAGGCCAATTTTTTACCAAACAGGGCCATTAATATTTTATCTAAATCAAACAATTAATAGTGGTCAAATAAGTCAAAATTAGCCTATAAACCAATTTTTTACCAAACAGGGCCATATATGAACTCCCACTTCTTATTTCTAACTTCTATTCTATCTCACAAATTTGTAATGTAAGCACTTTTTCTGAAGTCTACATAATGAAAATACTCTATCATTAAAATAAAATTAAGGACGAAATAAAATTAAGGAATACATGTAATAGAATTCTTATTGAATTGGTGAATCTCCACCACAATACATATATTCCGATGAATATAATGTTGGTATGATACACATGATATACCCTCCATTCTCTACCATAAAATGTGGGCAACATAATCCGTATTTGTCAGCCACTCATAATTTATTTCCCTTGTGATTGTGACACATAATTAATACAAATTTAATTAGTCAACTTGAAATGCTACTTACTCATGGATAATGAAAAACGATTTTCTTTTAACAAATGTGGAATAGGACACTGAGCTTATACTTTATGTAATTAGATCATTGAATTTAAAAAATATAGAATTATAAAATATTTGTAATTTAGACATTTTAATAACTTCTTTTAATACAATTTTAAGTTGGAAATATTTTAAAATTTTCATCACAACTAATATGACAGAAGAAATTGTAATTTTTAATACATACAATATAATTAATATGATTGGATTCTATCAAAAGAATATAAAAAAAAATCAAATTACACATATTTTACTTGTTTAATAGTTTAATTGCACACTTTTTAAATTTAATTGACTAATTGCACAAAAGACATAAATTCAGTGACATATTTAACATTTTTTTTTTCAATCAAATAAAAATAGTAAATAAATTTTTTTAGTTGATAAGAACATGTTACATTAACAAAGAATGAAAATAAAAAATAAAAAATACCACCAATATGCTAGTCACTTTCGTTCACTATAAAAATAGAAAAATTAATAAATGTAAATGAAAGTTATACCCTTCATTTATGTCCAACTTTTTTTTTTTTTTTTTTTGTATACATTATATTATTATTGAGTTGCACTAAACAATATTTTGATTAAAAATATTTCTACCGTCATAAATTTTGTTATCTTTTTTCCACTATTATTGACATGCATATGCATTCACCATATAAATTCTTATCTTTTTCCATGCTAATAATATAGAGACATTATATATTGGAGTATTATATAAGTTATTTCCTAAAATATATACATTAAATTTATAAAAAATAGTTGACACTACTACTACTATTATAATTATAATTATAATTATAATACAATAATATAAATATCTAAAATATGAGATTTTAATATAGAGCATTAATATTGAAAATCAATTTTTGCCTATCGCCCATAAAAAAACTAGTTGTATAGTACATGATGATATAATTTCATGAATCATAGGATACCATTACTGAAAGCAGCCTAAAATTTATTGAGAATATGAGAGTAAAGTTCATTTAAAAAAACAAAAAAAAAAAAAATCTTCAAAGTACCCTGTCGCTACAGTTAGCAGAAATTAATGCATGATAGCGGTACCCAAAAAAAAAAAAGCATAATTTTAGTGAGTGGTCACTTCCTCGGTCCATTCCATATGTATGTGAGTATGTGTGTATATATATATACACAGAGGAAGGTGAATTTTAGAGAGAGAGAGAGAGGGGGAAATATGGAGAGAGTGTATGATTCCTCCGGGGATGATAGTGGTGGCGGCGGCGGCGACTCTTCTTCTACTGCGGCGTATTTGAAGCATCTGAACAAGATTTCACATAAGATCTCTAAACCAATTCGGAAGCCCCCTGTTTATGAGATTCACACTGTTCAAAGCTCTCAGTTAGAGCCCCAGCAATCGCAGCCTGCCACGGCGGCGAATACGGTGGCTCAAAGCCTGCAGCAGCAGCAAGCGGCGGCGGCGCCTCAGCAGCAGCAGCAGCCGCCGGTTTATAACATAAACAAGAGTGATTTTCGCGACGTGGTTCAGAAGCTCACCGGATCTCCGGCGCACGAGCGGATGTCGACTCCGCCGCCGATTCACCAGCCCAAGCCGCCCAGTTCGAGGTTGCAGAGGATTCGCCCTCCGCCGCTGGTGCAAATAGGCAACCGCCCATCTCCGCTGTTGACCGTCGCCGGCCCTCCGCTCCTGCTTCCGGGCGGCGGCGGAGGGTTCGTCGGCGTTGGACTACGCCCTCCTCAACCCCAGCCTCTTTCCCCTCTTCCGCCGTTTCCCGCCGTACACGCGGCGGCCGAGTCGCCGATCTCCGCGTACATGAGGTTCCTCCACACCTCTTTCGCCGCCACCGCCGCTGACTCCGATTCCAAGCGCTTCTCCACCGGGCTTCCCCCGCTCGCCCCGCTTGCTTCGCCGCGATGGAACACCTTCGCTCCTCCTCTTCCTCCTCCTCCGCCACCACCTCAGCCATCATCCGCCGCAATCTTACCGCAATTTCCTGCTATGCCGTCTTCTCCACTGCCCTTTAGCTGCCTGCCGTCGCCGTCGCCGAGGTCTCCCTGCGCCTTGCTGTCACCAAATCTGCTGTTTTCACCGGCGGGTCAACTAGGGTTCCCGCAGCTCCCCCTGTCTCCGACGGTTCCTGTTTCTAGCCCAACCTGGAAAGGTATTTGAAGAATTCCAGTCCAATACAAAGAAAAGGTAAGATTTTTAGGGTTTAATTTGTTGAAATATACTACAGTAAAAGTAGTGGTAGAAGAAGAAGAAGATTGGAGGAAGGAACATGTACATTTATTTCCAAGGTGAAAAATGTTAAAATTTGACTCGCTCTATAGTTACTTTTGTTCTCTGTAAATGAATGAATGCTAATGATAGTGAATGAGAAAGATTAGATTTGTTCTTCTCAGTCAGTCAAACATTTTGTTATCTGAAGTTTATTGTTGTCATACTCTGCACCCAATACTTTCCGTTTGTAGTTGGTGGTTATGGAATTGTTGGGTCGATGTCGGTGAAGGGTTGTTTGTGGGATTTAGGTTAGTGCATAGTTGGATACCGTAACTCGGCTTTCGATTCATCCCGCATCATCTGCTCACTAAAAATGGCGGCTGTTGCAAAACCTTGGACGTGAATCCGGATGGGGCGACCATCGGTGCAAATCTTGGTGATAGTAGTAAATATGTTCAAAAGAAAAGTTTATTAATTAGTGACTAGGAGATTGTTGGACAGAGGTCAGTAAAGGGTTAAGTGAGTATCTATAAATGCTTGATCCTAAAAGCTTCTTCTAAGAAGTTGAATATAATAATGTTGTTTATGCTTGAGATTTGGTATGTATTAATGTTGTAAGGTGAAATGCCATTTGAATTATTTACTTGGGGCCAGCCTACAACAACTACTAAGGATGGAGAGGTATTAATTTTGTTGTTAACTATCATAAGCTCTTAGTCTTAGGTAACAAAAACAATGGTCAAAGTTATGTTGGTGGTGTTTTTGTCATGAATGAAAGCTTGATATGGGATAGATGTCTTTATTATTTAATAAAAGAAAGGGTGGGTATTTGTTGTTGTTGTATACTTTGGTGGTTTGATGTTTATATATGTTGAAAAAAAGTATAGCATAGCATAGCAGTTCAATCATTATCAAAGGACTGAGGTGGTTTGGTCTGTGGTGGTGTGATTGGTTCTTTTGTCAGTATATTTGTGCTTTTCTTAAAGCTATGTTGACTGGATTCACCTGCAAGTTGAGGAGAGTGGAACAAAAGTGCGCATCTAGCCCACCTTACCCTTTGTTTTCTTAGCTTTATTACACTTGTCTCCATATCTCTCTCAACTTGCACAACTTAGAAAAAAAAAAAAAAAAAAAAAAAAAAAAAAAAAAAAAAAACAGAAATGAGAATATCATTACTCAAGATCAATCTCCAAAACTTTATTACAAATAAACGGGAGAGGTTGGATAAACCATTCCCAACAATCAGACAATGAAATAGATTCCTTAGTAAGTAAGTGGGCAATTGTATTCGCTAAACAAATCTTCCTTTTCGGCCCTTGAAACAAATCTATGCTATCTATCGGACTAACTTTAAGTTTATTAGGAATAGAATGTTATCATCCGCGAACAATATGTAGATATTCTCGAGGTTTCTTGCGAAATCTGAATACCCCTAATGAGATTATTAGCTTCCCCTAGCTTGTTTGAGCATCATATCGGTTCAGCTACAATATAATGATAAATTGATATGGCGAGAGTGGATCCTTTTGTCGAATACCTCTTTCAAGTTTAACAGGCCAAATTAATCTCCTAACCATTACACATACAGAATACTAAGGGTGCTTTCTCCGATATAGAATAAAATTCAAATTGGCAGTCTTTTGGGACGCGGATGAGAAAGGCAAAGGCGTCACACTGGAGTCGTGGCTCTCCAGAGACACTTTATATTGGAGTAAAGGCGTCACCCTAGGAGCCGTGTTATGCCTGGCATAATACGACTTTCCAGGAGCCTCTTTATAAAGGGTATGTCAAAATAACACAGCTCTCCATGAGCCTATTTATTGAATACGCGTGCATAAACATATTTATATAGAAATACGGTATAGCTTCGTATATATACATTTCCCCTACTATATATATATTCAAAACCCTACCCTACTTCATTACATATTTTACCTACTTTAGTAATATTTTTTTCTCTTCTCTTCAGTAGTTCCTCTCTATTCTCTTATCTTCTACCGCTTTAACAAAGGCAATTGTTCTCCTTCTCTTCAGCTTCAAAACAATGAAATATATAGTACATCTTCAAAACAACCAAATAGGTACTTTTTTTTTCAACTTTCACGCTGTTATTTTTTGTATAGCACAGCCTCGCTGTAGGTTAAATTTTTAGCATTTTCAGATTCAAATCATTGCCTCAGCGAGGTCGTGATTTGAATCTCACCCAGATTGATTCAAATCACGGCCTCGCTGAGGTCGTGGTTTGAATCTGGGACACCCAATGGAGACCGCCATATATTTTCATCTGAAAACATTAAGGACCCATTTACTAACTGAAAAATTTCTCTAGTTTTTTGGAAAACTGGAGAATTGGAGAATAGAAAACTGAAAACATGTTTACTAATACAATTTTTAATTCTGAAAACTGAAAATAATTTTCCAGTTTTCTAGAAAACTATAACACTCTTAAAAACTGTTTTCTAAATGGAAAATAGAATCATATCACCTATTTGGTTATATGTCACTATAACCCTATAATTACATTCATTATCATCTTCTTTTACTTATCACAATTTTCTATCTTTTCGACTTACTTTACTTATTTAAACATAACTTTTTTTTTTTTGGGGGGGGGGGGGGGGGGGGGGGTTAGATCACGATGTGTCCTAAGCAGACCCTAACTGTAGGAGACACCTTTATTTGCTTACACTTTAAAGTTAGACATTATTCACATTATCGAAATTGAGAATTGAACTCTATACAATGTTTTAGATTTTGATTGAACTCAATAGATTATTAGTTCAGATATTTTTAGTTATGTTATATCGTAATACAAGTTCGGTCTGAATATTGTATATTGATATCTCACATATATTAGAATTCAAAGTAAAAATTATATATTTATATACATGTCGTTCAAATGAATATATCCAAAAATATTTTAAATATTAGCTCAAAAAATATTAATATTATTTAAACTAAATTTTAGGTGAAATTAGTAGGTTATTGGTTCAATTCGGATATATTTTTTTTAGTTATTATGTTATATACAAATATAAATTTTGTTCGGATATCAAATGTAAAAATCTTACATATATTAGATTTAAAAGTTTTTTTTTAAAAAAATTACTCCATTTAAACCAAACATATGTAAAGATATTTTAAATATAAAATCTAAAAATCACTCGAAATTAAACTTGTGTTAATTTTATAACGTTAATCTAAAAGAAAATTTGAAAAAAATAAACATTAGTAAACAAGTTTTCTAAACAGAAAACAGAGAAAGAAAATTGAAAAATTAAAAACTAAAAATAGAGAATAATTTTGCGTTAGTAAACACAATATACGTCTTTAGATTAACTCTGACACATAAAATTAACTGTGAGAACATTAACTCTGTCACATAAAATTTTGGTGATCCTATAATATATATTATAATAAAAATTTGGGCAAGCAAGCAAGCTCCATTTGTTTGTATGCGTAATAATTAAAATATTACAATTCAAACCAAGAAAACATTGGTCCAAGTGAAAAGACTATGGTGACTTCAGTATGAGATTGTGAATCACATGTGTATCAGTATTAAGAATATAATATATAAATAATAAATATACAGTTCAATTACATGCTTGTTAGTATTTGTTCAAATTACATGCTTGTTATTAACTATCTTTCATGGTGTTTTGTTTTCCTTTTTTTTTTCTTTTCCCTCCCTACAGGTTTAGGATTTTCTCTCCGTTCCTCCCTATCAAAGTTTTAGAGTTTTTGCTTTTTCCGGTTATCTCACGGTGTTTCACGGTGGTCACGTCTCTTTTCTTTCGTCAGAGTTGAATCGTGTCATCATCCTGTTTTGTCTGTTCGGCGAAGCCATGGGGTCTACGGATGGAGTGCAGCGCTCGGGTGGTGTCACAGGGATAACTGCGCGATGGCCCAATATGGTTTTGGAGGATGAGGAAGAAGGTGTGGAGTGTGCCGAGGTTGGGCAAGTCGCACCGGCTGGGGAAGCTGCGTCATGGACGCTGGTTGGGCGGTTTCTTACGGTTCAGTTGATCAAAGTTGAATTTATGCGACATGTGATGGCTTCAGTATGACAACCAGTGAAAGGGGTTCAGGTTTGTCTTTTACCACATGACAGACATGCAGCGTGTTCTTGAGGAGGGGCCTTGGTCCTTTGACAATCATACATTGGTTTGCCGGCAATTGGGTGATGTGCAGCTCCCGGGAGAGGTTACTCTGGACTCGATTGATATGTGGATATAGGTGTACGACCTCCCAATGGGCTATACCACGTACGACCTCCCAATGGGTTATACCACGGATGCGGTGCTTGAGCAGGTGGGACATTTTATTGGTTCTTTCATCCGTTGTGACGATCAACATCTGGGTGGACCGTGGCAAACTTTCTACCTAATACGTGTTACTGTTCCGGTTAACAGGCCTCTAAGGAGGCGTATGAAACTGATACGACATGACAAGTCTTGAGGGTAGGTCAACTTGAAGTATGAACGTCTCCATACGTTCTGCTTTTTCTACGATATGCTAGGCCATTTGGATAAGTTTTGTCTCAAAGCTCGTGACTCAGATCTTCCACCCGAATTTTATCCGTTTGGTGCCTGGTTGCGGGTGGGACAGTGGAAAGGCCCCAAGCCGGTTGGCGCTTCGTGGTTGATTCCATCTTCTAGACCCGTACAGCAGCCGTGTGTTGAGGAGTCGACTGCGTCGTCGGATGATGGTTTGGGCGACGCACGTATGGAGCAGCCTCACCGTGAATCTGACGTGGGGGTTGTGGCGGTATCGAAGTGGTGTAGGGGTGCCGGTGGAGGCAATGGTAGGTTGGGCTCGCAGGTGGCTTTGGATTCTACTTTGGGCGGTGGTTTAAAAAACTTGCATTCGGCGTGTTCTGGTCCCCAAACCCGCCCAACCCAATGAGTACCCTGAGCTGGAACTGTCGTGCCTTGGGCAATCCACGTACAGTTCGGGAAGTGGTGGACATGGTGTCCTGTAAGAAGCCTGACTTTGTGTTCTTAATGGAAACTAAGGTGAAACGTGACCATGCAGAAAGGTTACAGATCAAGCTTGGTTTCGGGGGTTTGTTCTTCGTTGATTATGTAGGTTTAAGTGGAGGATTGGCGCTTTTGTGGAGGAAGAATAATACGGCAAGATTGATTAGCTACTCCAGGAATCATGTGGATGTGGAGGTTACTCTGGATGG